CTTTCTCCCTCTAAAAGTAAAAGATATTCCTTGGGGAAATTCCCACCTGAATGGAATTGCGTTGCTCCTTAGTAGTTTAGCAAGTTCAGAATAGGCGGCTCTAAGATCCAGCAGTTGTCTTGGAATATCTTTATATATTTCAATTCTTCTGTCCAAAACCTCCAGTGACTTTCCGTAATGTAGGCCCAAAATCTTATCCCTTTCCTCCTTTGATCTCAATGTTATCAAACAGTCTCTGGGCCTCTCCTTCTTTATGAATCTTCCAAGTCTGAAAGCTGACACAATTTTAAAGTCCTTTTCTTCCAAATTCCAGAACTTGGAGAATTCTTTGGTCAAAAATTCAGTTAAATTTCCTTCTTCTGCCTCTTGTAATGATCTAATCCTCAGATTGTTCTCACGATTTCGCAGTTCTATCATAGAAAGATAAATCTGATGTTCCCCAACTTGTTTAGTAAGTGGTCTTACCTCTTGCTCTAAATTTTCTAATTTTTGTCTGGTGTCCTCAGCCAATTTCCGATTTTCTGCTGAGGCCTCCGTTAACTGTCCAATTGCTTGTGTATTCTGTACCACTTGTATGGTTAATTTATTTAGACATTCTGTATTTTTGTCAATCTTTGCTGATTGCACATCTACTTTCTTGTCCAAAGCTTCCAATTTTTCAAAGATTTTGTCTAGAACAGAAACAGATACTCCTGAGGCCATATCTTCCAGTTGTAACTGCTCTGCTTCACCCTCTCCCTCTTTTGCCTGTAACAAGGCAACTTCTTCAACTTCTACTTCTGAGGGCAAAGTAGGTACAGATGATCTACGTGTCTGCGAGGCTGAGGTTAGAGTTGTTAAAGTTGTTTGTCTAACTCTCCCTCTTTTTCTTGTGCCACTCATTCCAACGTTATCTATCAGTCAAGGTCACACTGAGTTTTTCCCATGGGAATGGAAAGGCCCAGAGCGGCAAACAACAAGGGAATCAAAAGTAAATGTACATGTAAAGTCACTGTTTTAATCCAATCCTCTAGAGGGAGCCTAAAATGTCTTTCAGAGTCTAATTTAATATCCAAGAACCTTCAGATACAAATATTTAGCAGAGTTTATAAATGGTCACTTTGTTACAGACAGTGCTTATTTGTCTCAAAAAGAATGTTTCAAATTTAAAAGGTCTCAATACCCTCAGATTGTTGCAAGTTCCAATATACAGTATCCAAATCTGCAATACTGACAGCTCAATCTCTCAATGCTCAGGCAGCTCCTGACTCTGGGTTTCACCTTCTAATTTGTAATCCAATAAAAGGAGGAAAGTCAAGTGCAAGTAATAATTCCAAATCTTTAACTTAAAGTCTTTACCTTCAATTGCAAGTTCAGTAGATGCTTAGATCTGTAAAGTTTAAAATCTCTTTCTTTCAGCCTCCACTCCTCCAGCTCGTTGCTTTTTCAAGTTCAATGGCTGCGGAAGACGGACTTCCTGTTTCCACGTCTCTCCGTCTCTTCAAACCAATTAGGATTTTTCATTTAAAGTCTCTAATTTCAAGTAATTTCAGTCTTTACTCACGAATAAGTTGCTTTTCATCCGAATCCGTATTTTGACAGGAAAAGGGATCAGCGCTCACCGGCAACAGCAGCGCGGCTTCGCTCCACAGACTGTGAAGCAGCTCTCAGCGCCGCAACCCCCCTCCACGCTCCGGAGCCCCTTACGGGGTTCCTTTCGCGTTGGAGGGTCGCTCAAGGCGCCCACCGAGCCCCAAGACCCCAAGCTCTTGCTGCCTGGGGTTTTCCGATGTGGGTCTCCGCTTCGCCGTAGCGGACGACCCGTTGTCTGCGGAGCCTCCTCTCCCGTTCAGAAGAGGACCGCCATTTGCCGTTCGCGCCGCCCCCGGAAGTGTATTTAAAAGAAAGAACAAATAGAAGTTTTCCCCCTAGAGAGAGACTGTGAAACTGTAACCAACTCCGGGGAGCTGGCAGCTGTTACAGATTACAATCGTGGGAATAGACATCTGACCTTGTAGGACAATGTATTCAGAAGCTCTGTTGTGTGCTTTCTATAAAACAAATGCCCTATTGGAACAGCTACATGAGAAGACGAATTTGATGGCTGATTCGATTAGAAATTTTGAACAGGCAGTGGGAAATTTTGAACAGGCAGTGGGAAAATATGTGGAGCCCACCCAGGAATTAAATCAGGAGTGTGCCTTGACAGAACAGGCCCAACAGGAACATGAGCTTTCGGATTTGACAAATGAACTTGGAAAAAGCCAGATTTGGAAAGAAAAAGTTTGGTTTGGTTTGGAAATGGGGGGCTGGATAGACCCCCCTATGCAGGGATGTTTGGACTTTCCAAGTCTGGCAATGGGCCGTGAGATGTCTGGGATTGTGGGGGCTCTTAATTTTGGAGGGATTCTGAAACACGTTTTTAAATACCACATGGAGTTTAGTTTGGACTATGGAAAAGGGGCTGATCTGTTGAAAAGGGTCAAAAACATTGTTAAGCTGGAGTTCCCACGAGTGAAACGAGCAGGAGACAAGGGAAAATACAGTTACAAATATGAAGAAGAGCTGCGGAAGGGACATGGAAGAGACTTAAGGGCCTCGGATATAAGGTTACCAGGTTAATGCACTAGATCGATGGGAAAATAAGGACTGACAAAACCCGGGACCAGGAGGAAGGAACGCTGGATGAAGATTGGATTGTTTCTATTTCTTTTTCTACTACTAGGATTGTTTTATAAAATTGATGAATGTTAGAAAAATGTTGGAATGAAATTACTTGGCTTTAGTAAAAATGTTTAAAGAATTATGTAAGAATATTATGGTTATGAGAAGTTGGTAAAAATAAGATTTAAGTTTTAAGTTTCAAGGTTTTTATAGTAAGATAAGATTAAAATAGTTTAAGGTAATGTAATGACAGAATTTTATGAAATATGGAAAGGATTTGCTGCAACAATTAACAACTAGGATACAAAAAATGGGAGGAGGAGGAGGTCAAAGAAAGAAGGTAATGACAGTTGAGGATTTGAGAATAATGGATTTGTTTTTAAAAGTTTGTGGTGTATTTTTTTTTTTTTGAATTTGTATTGTTGGATGTGGTTTGTGTTTTTCTTTGTTCTTTCCTTTTCTTTGTTCTTTCTTTGTTTTTTTTCTACTTTGTTTTCTTTTGTAACTCTAAAAATTTTTTCCCAATAAATATCATTAAAAAAAAAAGAGAGACTAAGTTAGTTAGATCTCACTGAAGTCCATTGGGCATAATGAGTCATCATTAACTTTCCAAACAGATTTCAACTGGGCCTCAATTTGGCTACCTACCTGAGTCTGAATCCAACTGATTATCTCCAAAGATAGCAAGCGTACAGATATATTGATATGGAAGACAGGTGTGTTATAATTCAGAAATTATCAGCGAGCAAATCTGTACGAGAGAGAGAAAGATTAAAATCTTTTCAACCCACAGGGAAATTTAAGTCCTGGACTAGACAATACGCTTGGCATGTGATCATTTATTCCAGGCTTGTTTTTCTTTCAGAAATAGCCATGGGGCAGGAGGGGGTGGAATGGATTGGAGCTGCAGTAAATGCAGCCCCCCCCCAAATAATCCCCCTGAAACTATAATTTGGCTCAAAGGTGCTACTGAAGGAAATGTCACCTTCAGGGGTAAATCCCTTCCCCTGAGGTACTATTTTAGTGATCTGGTTCAAGCCCCCACAGCTTTTTCTAAAAGAAAAGGAAAAACCCAAGACACACAATCACCTGGGAAATGTATCATTTCGCTTCAGCTTACTAGGCTGCAGAGGAGGCAGGATTCTTACCCATCGCACTCTGGTCCATACCAATGTAAGAACCTGAATAGAGTCCTCTTAGATAAAAAGTCAAGCACCCCACAAATGAGCTCACTCACCTGCCACTGCTGGTGGGCACATTTTCCCTTGCCCCTTCTCTCAAGCCTGGAGAAAGATAAAGGACCTCATGGACCTAGTGCTGGTTTGAGAATGGACAGGAAAGCAGAGAGGGGTCTCAGCCCTTTACGAGCCTTCCCAAACCCAGCATGGGCTTCAATAAATTCTGCTGCCCTCCTCTAGGCTCAGGAGGAGAATGGGGAAGTCTCCCTCATCTGACACAGGGAGCCACTCAGAAAGCAGAGAGGCATTTTACTGCTTTGTGCAACTCTCTCAGTGCAGCAGGAAGGGTCCCTGATGCTCTTACCCAGCTTGGATTTGCAGGGTAGGGAGAATTAGAGCTTGCCCTTGCAATTGCACTAGACTAGGGGTGATGGGAGTTGTAGTTCAACAACACCTGGGGACCCACTGGTTGAGAAAGGCTGCACTAGACCAACCTTTTCTCTTTTTCCTGTCAATGGCCCCATTCCCTTAGGGGTACCCCGTTGGTGGCTGCGTACTGACTGCATTCAGGTTCAAAGCCAGCCACCCCTTCCCTCTCTCTCTTTGCCCTTTCTCTTCCTGACACCTCCTTCCCTTCTTTCTCTCCCCCTCTCTTTTCCTCTTCCTCTGGTGCAGGTGTGTGTGGGGAGAACCTTTCTAACCTTCTGGATTTTATGGAACTAAAACTCCCATCAGACTTAGCAAGCATGGCCAATGGCTAGGAGTGATGGGAGTTGTAGCTCAGCAACATCTGGGGGCCAGAGGTTTTCCCCCATGCCTGCTTAGTGGGCTGCCAAGGAAGAAAGAGAATGCTCTTGCCGAAGATTGAAACTGGTGGTTTGCAAAGGGACTTTGAAAGTCGGCCATAAAAGTGGCATAACATCGGGCAAAGGGCCAAAGCTTTGTTGGGTCAGGCCAAAGTTCCATCTAGTCCTGCATCCCTTTCGCTCAGTGGCTAACCAGATGCCCATGGGAAACACCCCTGCTCTAGGGCCTGGAGGTGATCAGAAATTATGCCACAAGGGTCAGGGTCAGTGGTGAGAAAAAGACTGTGTGCTTACCAGCCTCATATAACCAATACACTTAAGTCTAATTGATACATGAAGGGGTTAATACAGGCATAGGCAAACTTGGCCCTCCAGATGTTTTGGGACTACAACTCCCATCATCCCTAGCTAACAGGACAAGTGGTCAGGGATGATGGGAGTTGTAGTCCCAAAACATCTGGAGGGCCAAGTTTGCCTATGCCTGGGTTAATACTATAGACTCTATAGTAAGCTGTCCTGCCAGGCTTAGCTCACCTTGGGAGTGACTAGGTCATCAAGTCATTATTCCCCTCCAGAAGCTCAGAGTGTGAAGAGACTAAAGCTGGTTGCTTCGGCTTAGCCACATGCCTCTCACAAACCACTCAAGTTCCTATACCAATAATTTAGGAACGTTTGCCAAACTTTTACTGCCTATGCAACCTTTCTGTTCAGATATATGGAAAAGCACATGAACCAGACCTTTGAGGAGTTTGTAAGTAAACCAATTTTTAATTTACCAAATGTGTGGTCTTTTCCTGTGCTGAGGGAAGAGGGAAACTTTCGAGGAAACTCAGAAGGGCATATTTTAAAGGTCTAACAGGCTATATTTCCACACACTACTTTACTGCATGTTTTGTGATTTTAAAATCTCTGCTTGGGTTTTCTCACCAAAGAGTACTTGCTCCAAACCTGGATCTTGGTACCCACCAACCAAAATTATAGCCAGCTACCATTTGAGGCCCAGTGTCAAAGCTTCATCTAGTCCAGCATTCTGTTTCCCACAGTGGCAAAATCAGGCATGCCATTGCAGAATGCATGGGATGGAACATTTCCTTCATACTGTATTGTCAGATGGGCATTTTAAGAATTTTGTATTGTACATCGTTTTCCTTTTCTTACTAAGTTTTCATTGATTTTACCTGTTTTGTATTTCTTCTTTCTGTTAAGTTGCTTCAAAGTGGCAAACAAATGCAAATCATAATGATTATAAATAATAAATATTATTGTTGCATCATAATTTTGATTAACGCCTATGGTACAACGGTTTTTATTATTATTACAAATACATTGGCTGGTAAGAGACCTGTAAAAGAGAGCTGGGGATGTGGGCATATCAAGAGAAGCTCATCTTAGAATTGTAGAGTTGGAAGGGACCCCAAGGGTCATCTAGTCCAACCTCCTGCAATGCAAGAATCTCAACACACCGTTCCCCATCCAATTTGCTCAGCTTTGCAAATGTGCTAGCAGTTTTACTGCTGCACCACTAGCCATAGCCACCAGGGGGTTTGGAGCTTCCTGCCTATCGCAGAAGCCAGCAATTAAATGAGATTTCAGAGAAGGTCAGAATGTTTGAATTTTTCCAGATGCAGGCACAATAGAGAGCAGTTCACTACACATATATACTAGGATGAGAAGAAAACAAGCCAACAAACAAAATATATCTAGTGATGATGAAACGTACCGTAGCTAGATTTGGGCTGCTACGCCAAGCGCAGCAGACGTGCTTAGTTGTGTTAGGAACAGGATTAGACAAATACTGTGTGTGTATATATATATATATATATATATATACACACACACACACACACACACACACACGCTCACATAGGTCGAAGATCACTGGCAAACTCATACTACAATATTATGAAAACCATTTCTTTTTAAAGGCAGTGCATGCAGAGCTTATGGCGGTGGCTCCATAAACTGTGCTTCTCAGTAGTAGAATATGTGTTCTGCATGCAGAAGGACCCAGGTTCACTCCCCAGAATCTCAAGGTGGGGCTGGGGGGACTCCAGAGAGCCAGTGGGGACAATTCTGAGCCAGAGGGACCAATTGCCCAACTCACTATAAGGCGTCTTCCTTCGTGAGCTAATCTTGGCACAGGGTCAGGTGGATATTAAAACTAATTACCTCAAGAACCACAACTCAAATTAATATGCAAATTTTACGTAAGCACATCTGCTAACAGGCTGCTTCTTTTGTATAAGTAGATATTAGAGGCAGGGTGTTGAGGAGGGGGCAGGAAGGGTGGAGAGGGGCTAACTTTCCCATTAAGGGTCCTCTCAGACAGCCTTTTGAGTGTAAAGATCCCTCATTAGGGCTTGGAGCACTTGATAGCTCCTTCCTCCATAATTGATGACACTGGTTCTTACAAATCTCGCTGAAGTAAGTCTCAATTAACATGCAAATTTTGGGTAAGCGTATCTCCCCATCTCTACTTCCTTGGTACAAGTTCATCACCTCTTGAAGTTGCTCTGGTTACCAGAGAACAGTGTGGTTTGGGAGCAGCTATACAAATATACGGTTCTTTTAGGCAGGGGAAAAAAAACAACAGCCAAAAGATGAGAATAAAACACAGAAACACTTACATAGGCCAAACCATCATTATGCTACCTTATCTTCAGGAGGTCCTTCTGCCAAGAGAGGGGCCACCCTTATTCCCGTCAAAGTCCACACCATCTCAAAGCGTCCTCGTACAGGGCCTTTGTTTTACAGCCAAACCACTAATATATTTTGCAATCTCTCCAAATAGCAAAGTTCAGAACATCTTACCACAATCTAACCACAACTAACTGGGCAAAATTCCCAGCTTAAGCAGGTGTCTGTCCTTCCTTTATGTCTCTCTTGCTTGCGTCACCCTTCAGCATTGCCTCTGATCGGGGTTTCTCTCTCACAGAGCTCCCACAATCAGCCATTTTGAGCAATCTTCCATTTTGACATCTGCTTTGGCCAACTTAGTTTAATCTACATCATCTCAAAAGCAAGCCATGGGGCCTACAATGCAAGCCGGGATGCAATAGCAGCGCCTACCTTCAGCAAGCAGCCAACACAACAGATCCAATACAGCACAAGCCCCTAAACCTTTGGCAATAATCTGAGGCACCATAAAGGATTGTGAATTGTGAGCTACAGAAAGGTTGGGTCCTTTGAAAGTGCCAAAAATGCTTGGGATGGCCATAAAAAACATATTTTATTTAACTTAAAAGCATTTATAAACCACTTAATATTTCAAAAAATTCTAAGCAGTTTACAATATGAAAACAATAAACAAAGCGTGCAGATATGCATCTATTTTGCACTCAGGTATTTGTAAAGGTAAAGGTAAAGGGACCCCTGACCACTGGGTCCAGTCGTGACCGACTCTGGGCTTGTGGCGCTCATCTCGCTTTTTGGCCGAGGGTGCTGGCATACAGCTTTTGGGTCATGTGGCCAGCATGACTAAGCCGCTTCTGGTGAACCAGAGCAGTGCACGGAAACACTGTTTACCTTCCCGCTGGAGTGGTACCTATTTATCTACTTGCACTTTGACGTGCTTTCAAACTGCTAGGTTGGCAGGAGCAGGGACCGAGCAATGGGAGCTCACCCCGTTGCGGGGATTCGAACCACCAACCTTCTGATCGGCAAGTCCTAGGCTCTGTGGTTTAACCCACAGCGCCACCCATGTATACCACCCAGTATACAATATGAAAACAATAAATAAACAGAGCATGCAGATATGCATCTATTTTGCACACAGGTATTTGTACCTAAGTACAAAAACACCTTGCAAATGGCTACCAGCTGCCCTAATTCAGAGGCAGCCAATACGGTCCCACCACCACTGGTTTCTGGACTACAACACCTTTGACGATTTGCTGCTGGCTGGGGCTGATAGGAACTGGAGTTCAATAACATCTCAAGGGCACCTCGTTGACTACCCCTGCTCTTAAAGAACTCATTTCCCCCAAACAAACCTTCCCTAGGAAAGCACATGATTCCACTTATAGCACTTTGATGAGCACCAGGAGTGTGGCATCAACACTGCTGTTTGCTCTGTATTCAGCCCATTTCATTTATGCATTTTGTAGCGGTGAGCAAGGGGAACAGCATGGCCCAAATTCATTTACTGCTGATGGTTCCAGGGTGCTGAGCCCAGTGAAGTGGGTGGGTGTCTGAGAGTCTCACAGCTGCCTCTTCTGGCAACTTCATGGAGATGCTGACTGGCATTTGTTATTTGTAGGATGCCAGCTCTTGGCATCCCCTGAATGTGCTCATCACTTCCAGCAGAAAAGAGGTTTCTGGCCCTCACTGTTTGGGACAAAACCGGGGTGGGGGGGGGTGAATCGCTTAATCATATGCCTCCCCACCAGACTTCAAGTCCAAGGAAACATTAATTTTCATGTTGTTGTTTTTAAATCGTAAGTGAAGAGAGTGCTCACTGCAGCTCTGCACCCTCAAAGACTGCTCTCTGCCGCCCACCCTTATGGTACATTGTTTGCCTTGGTACTTGGTACCCTGATTCCCCTCACGGAGCTACAAATATGGTTTAATAGACAATCCCTCTTTATGGGGAGCTCTGCGAATTGTAACTCTGAGGGGGAAAGGCATCTCCTAAGAACTCTCAGCACCCTTAACACAGTTCCCAGCATTCTTGCGGGGGGAAGCCATGACTATTTAAAGTGGTATGATACTTTAAATGCATAGTGCAGATAGAAAGCTTTGTGGTGGTGGTGGGGACTCTTTCTTATATGCAGGTGCTCTGGTGGTAGAGATACAGTGGTACCTTGGTTTAAGAACAGCTTAGTTTATGAACAACTTGGATTAAGAACGCTGCAAACCCAGAAGTAGGTGTATTGGTTTGTGAACACTGCCTTGGAAGCAGAACATGTTCCGCTTCCTGCTGAGCGTGTTCCATTTGTAAAGTGAGTCCCCCGCTGCTATGGGAAAGCACACCTTGGTTTAAGAACACTTTGGTTTAAGAACAGACTTCCGGAATGGATTAAGTTCATAAACCAAGATACCACTGTATTTAGAGACCAGTTGACCTGGTGCCTATTCCTAGGCTAGTAGCCTGGTGACCCATTGATTAACTCCAGAACAATATCTGGATTGATGCTGGCAGGATCCAATCAGGCATGCACCATTGTCTGCCATCCTTGCCATCCTACTTGCATCATCCATCACCCCCTCCCCTTTGCACACCATTGCACAATGGGAAAGACAAGGCATCTGCGCCAGCCTCTCTGAGATACTTTGGAAAGTAGGCGGCTGCATTGCAGGGGCATAGAAAGGACCGACTTGTTTGCCTCTCTAATGCTACAGTTAAGACCCAGCTCAGATCTGAACCAGATCATCTCAAGTTTGACAGCCTAATGTCATGGTGCCAATAAAGCTGCTCCCACACACACAAACACACCAATTCTAGGAGGAAAAGAACAAGC